TTTGGTCTGATAAAATGGAGTATGACATGATGTAACAATCATGGGAGAGACTATTCCCGTGACTTTTTGCCATAAAATGTAACCTAATCAAGTCAGTGACTTTCCCATCACATTCATAGATTCCACCTACATTCAGAGGGAAGGAATTATACAAGGTGTGTACACAGGGAATGGGAATCTTGGGGCCATTTTAGAATTCTGTCTATATGCTACCTTAGAGTAGTTATGTAGATTAAAAAGAAAATACACACAAACCAAAGTGTATGGTAAGTAGTCAGTGTTAGCTGTAATTATGATTGTTTAAATGCAGAGTTCCTTATTGTCATAAAAGTAGTCATCAGAAACAGAAGTGGCCTTCAAATACGAAGAAGTTGTAATGTAATTACTAACTGGATTGTAGACTAAAATATATTTTATTAATAAAATGTCAACTCAGATTTAAATGTTGAAGTTAATGTCATATCATTCAGATTCTTTTTACTTATTATGTGATATACTCTTTCTCTCTGAAACTCTTTCTCTTTTCTCCCTTAAGAATCTTCAAAATATGTGATACTCCTTAATTTTACTCCAGTGTGTCTTGGTGTGGGTTTTTCAGTCATTCATCTTTTTTTTTCCTTTTTTAGTTCAAGAAAATGTATATCCATTATGCCTTCAAATGCTTCTTTTACACTGTTTTTTTTTTGCCACTTTGAGATTGTTATTATTTGTCTGATCATACTTCTGTTTCTATTCTTTGTATCTCTTAGCTTTTCCTTTACATTTCTGTTTCTTTTTCCTCTTTTTCTTCCTCTTCAAACTGGTCTTCCAGTATGCTAATTTTTTCTACTCATGTATCCATTCATCCTACTATTTATTTCATTTATATTATTTTTTAATGTTTCTTGATATTACTTTCACATTGTTTATCTTTTACCTTATGTCTTTTAATGTACTTATGGGGATAACTTGAAATTCATGGGCAAACTCTTTGTCCCAGGGATACTGGCTACTCTAAGAAGTGTTGCATAAAGGGAAAGGCCAGACCCCAGTCTGTGTAAGACTCAGTGATTCAGATGTTAAAAGGGGTTTTGAAAATCCCTCAGATGGAAAGTTCCAGGGCACTAGAAAACTGTTATTTCCAAATTTGTAGCTCAACTCAGGCCTCTTTTTTAAACACTAGACTTGTACATCCAGTTTCCTTATTGATATGTCTCCTTGGATGTATGATAACCATTTCAAAAACTAGTACGTCCAAAAATGTATTCCATAACCTTTTCTCAAAAACCCACTTTATTCCATTGCATTGTAAGCATGTAGAAGACATCGGTATGGGTTCACATATTAACAGGGACATTAGCAAACTGGAATGCATTTAGGAAATGTAAACTGTATCTGGGAATTATAACATATGAAGAAGCTTGAATCAATGGGAACTTTTATATGGAATAGAGTTTTAACTATTTCTACTTATCTCTAGGAGTGGAATTAAAATCAGTCAATAGATGTTATAGGGAAATTATATTGCAACTTAAGATAAAATTTCCAAAGCATAGAGTTGTCCAAAAGAATAGTTCTCCATGTTTAACAGTGAACTCTTCTCTTCCAAAATGTTTGAGTAGAGGCTTTATTTCAGTGAGAAAAGTTGTAGAGAAGTTATATTTGAATTTCTGACTATTTCTAGTACTTTATTATTCTATAATTTTATAATCACATTATAAGATTTTACATTTCATATAGATAATTTTTATATCTGTTAATTATTAGAATACTTGTAGAAATTGATATGTGTTTGATTTATGAAGTTTATTTTTTATTTTATTTATTTTTGATTATACATATTTATGGGATACAGAGTTGATTCTCAGTATTTGTATATAGTGTGTGAAGATCAAATCAATACTACTGGCATGTTCATCATTACAAATCGTAATTACTCTTTGTGTTCCTTACCCAATTACTCCCTAGACTCCCTTACCTCCTCTCTCCCACCTCTAGTAACTATAGGTCTGTTCATCCCTCTGAAAGTTCCATGTTTTATTATGGTCTTTCTTTTATTGGAAACTTTGGAGTTACTGTCACTTGCTCCCTTTTTTTGGGAGGCAGTAGATTTTCTGGAAAAGTCAGAGATGATGAGATACAAACAGTTTAAATGCTGTTTTATATAACAGAAAGCCATTTCAAATTCTTTTGGAAACTAGTGGACTATGTAGTAAATATATATGTATCAATATTTATGAATATGGAAAATCACTTATACAAATATTGCGCATTAAAAATATTATAAATGTTTTTATCTTTAGAATTAGTATAAAAGTAAAAATAAGTGGAAAATTGTTTAAACTAGTTTGATCATACAGTAAAGATCTTGACTGAAATAATATTAATCTTACTATTACATTTCCATTAAAATAGTTTTTTAATAAAATAGATTTTGTCACAAGTTGTATTATCAAATATGTTTTTGTTTTGTACCTGCCTCCTGTTCCTTCCATCAACAATTTTTTTAAACTATTCAATTTTATTTTAATTAATAAATATATTCTAGAAGACTTTTAGTGTGAGTTACATGTAAAACAAGCAGTTATCATGGTATAAAAACTTCATGTGCGTAAAGGTTGTGATAATAACTGCTAAATTAGAAAGCAAATTTTGTCTTCTCATTCTACTAGCATTGTTGTGGCCCAAATCTACTGGCTCTATGTTTTTTTATGTTTATGAAGATGTTTGAGAAACAAATGTTTTTGTTCAGAATTTTTCACTTTGTTTTAAGTGCTGTACCAAATTTTTGATAACTAATTGGAAATTTTTTCTTTTACTTCCTATTTCTGAGTTAATATGTATTGTAAAAGTTTAATTCCTATAGTACCATAAAGTCTTATACTCATTAATGGAATTCTAGAAATCAAGAAAATGAGTTGTTTTTTTGTCAAATACATAATATGCCTACTAGAGTAGTCAATTTTAAGTAGGTGACTATTCATACATAATTAATCAGACTTTAACTTAGCCATTGAGAGCCTCTTCCATTTTAATATATTATTTGATCAATTTATGTATTTTGGGAAGATGCTTTAGTTTAATGTAAGTCATAATTTTAAACAAGTTTTCTTCATTGTCTTCTACAAAGTGTTTTGTTTTAGGTTGCCAACCACTTTAGCATTCAGATATCCTTAAAAAATTCATATTATGACTACGAGACACATAGCAGTGCTATATGATGAATGTGCCAATAATCTGTTAATTAAACAGGAAAAAATTTCCTTTTTTTTTTTTTGGAATGCTGAGAATCATGCTACTAAGCTGATTTGCAAGAGTTTCTAAAGCGAGATTTTATTTTGGTAACACTTATCTTTACAACGTATAAAGCTGTAAAATTGAATCTTGACAAAAAAAATTCAAAAATGACAACTATGGCTGCAATGCTAATAACTTAGAAAACAGAAAGTGTATTGAGCTTAAGTACTTTGTATTCTCCTACGTCAGTGTTGCTCATCAACATTTATACAACACAATTTAAATTAAATTAAATTACATTGAATCTAAATTACCTATTTCTGAGTAAATGGAATTTGGTAATTCAGTACTAAGTCAATCTGCAAACTGATGTCATAATTTAGATTTAATTTTTTTATGAGAATGATGCTAGGAATCATTCTTCAATTTGCAATTCTAATTTTCATTCCAGACTAGGTGATATCCCCTTACTAATAATAGTTAAGTTATACAGAACAAAAGAGAAAAAAGAACTTAATCTTAATGCTCATGTCTAAATTTTTATCACAAATATATTTGCATTGTGAACATAGAAGACGAGTCATTTGAGCATAAAATAATATGGAAAGACGCTGGTTAAGTAGGTATTGAAGTAAATACGAAGTTTTATGTATATGATTTGAAAACTAAGGGTTATAATAAAATATGCTGATAAAGATGCCCTTGTATAATTGTTTTTTTCAAATTACCCTGAAGGGAGGACACTTACAATTATATTATTATTATTATTATTATTTGTTGCTGTTGTCTTCCAAATTACTACAAGCTTGAGGAATTTATCATATATATTTTCAAATTTCCTTTTTCCTTTTCTTTTAAGCTTTAATTGTTTTGTCATTAAACCTGGCTTGGCATAAGTTCAAAAAGTGTTATTGGAAATTGCTAACACATTTTATCAATTAGTTAAAAATATATTAAGTATACTAATCAGAAATATAAATGTGAATAATATATAAGAAATAAGAAGCATATTCTTATAGAGAGAAATGGAAGATTTTATGATAGCTACAAGACTGGTTATGACAGGTACTGAAAAAGGAAGATATATCAAGTTTGCAATACAGTGGCAGAGTTGAGTAGTAAAAACAGATACTACATTGCTCATAAAACTGAAAATATTTACTATCTAGCTCTTTACAGAAAAAGTTTGTTGACTCCTTATCTAAAATGCTATTTTTTATAAGCAATAAAATTGAGTTAGATAAGATGGCATAAGTGTAACCTCTATTTTTCTAAGAAAATGTCTTATGAAAAATATTTTCAACTTTTCCATTTGTAACATAATTCTGAGTAAAGAAGTTCTCCCATTTCTTTACAATAGTAATTTTTAAAAAGTTATTGTTCTTTGAAATCTAGTTAAACTCTTTGATATTATCAATTATCACTTATTAGATGTATTAGTTTACAATGTGGTCATTACTAGATGAAGAACTTCATTCGCATGTTTTAGTGAGGTACATTTAATCATCATAGCATTTCCCATGAAACACTTAGCATACATTCTTGAAGTAATTTTAGAAAACTTTTTAAACCATTTAATGTTATAATCTTTGCAAAGACCACCATTAGTAGTTGAATATATTAGATATTCTAGATGAAGTTTTAATTGCAGCACATATTTGATTTATAATATGGTGAGCCAAATGTCTTTATGATTTATAAATATTGTATTTACAAATGCCACAATTCAGAGAAGAACATACATTCAGTTAAGTTTCAAATTTTCTTTTATTTTAATTTTTCAGATTGCATTCTCACAACACAACACAATCATGGATCTTGTGCAGTTTTTTGTCACCTTCTTCAGGTAATTTGCTTTTATTGACCTTGAACTTGTAAAGCCTATATTTTGATATATGTTCTTTCACTCTGTTAGAAAATTTTTCAGTTCTTTAATCTTAATATATCATATAGCATGTCTTGAATAGTTTTATATGCTTAAATATATACCACCAAGCATAGGGAACCTACTTGATCTATACTTGTGTAAGATTATTTTACTATTATACTATTTAATAGCCAATGGATTTAGTGTCCTCTCTTATATATATAAATGAAGCATGGTTTAATTATGAAATTAACAGTACATACGTCACATGGATTAGTTACATCTACTGGAATTAAATCAACTCAATAATTTCTTGGTAATTATTATATATGCTTGTCAACATGCTAAGGTCTGTAGTCAGTGAGAAAAAGTATGTCTTTTCTGTCCTGGAGGGGTTTGTGATCTGGAAGTACTATATATGACTTTCAATAGTGCATCATTTCCCAGAACATTAGTTATATGAGGTACTGGTAGTAGGTTCATAAAAAAGAGTTCTATAATTAAACGACTTTGGACAATGTTGTGTATACTAAAGTTAAATAAGGCTCTTTTTGGTTTTGAATTGACATTACTTGTCAGAGTTTTTAATATGCTAATTTGTAATGTGTCTTTCTCAAAGAGAAGTTAGAGTTTGTAGCGTTTCTCAAAACATGAACACTCTTTACAGAGAACATTTATCTGCGTTTCCATGGGATGTAAACGAAGAAACATAGGTTAGGAGAAGAAGCTGAGTTTCAGTGGTAGAATATTTGTGTTGTGGGATCTTAGATTCTCTGGATTGGAAGAGATGTTATTTTTGCTAACATTGTTTTGGGTATATGCAGCTTATGCTGATTCTTTGGGTGGCTTTGTGCAAATTAGACAAATGTGAGTGCTCTTTCTGATAGACCTAGCCCCCATCATGGCACACAACTTTTCAAACAGAGTGCAGTATCAATTTTGACCTCCATTCATCAACTTGGCTGGGCTAACTTAGACAGTAAAGAACCTGCACACCTAAATCCTTGACATACATGATATGTCAGGCACTTTCATAAACACAAAGTAACCATTATCTTGTTGTTTGTCTTGTCCAGACATCCATATAGTACTTGAATTCCTAATATCTTCTCCACAGGTTTCTGCAAACATTTTCTGTTAAGGAGTAGATAGTAAATATTTCAAAATTTGTGGGTCATACGGTCACTTGCATCTACACAGTTCTGCTGCTGTGGTACTAAAGCAGCCAGAAACAATATAGAAACAGATGGGAGTGGCTGTGTTCCAATAAAACTTTACCATGAAAACATCTGTGGATATATAATTTTCCCAACCCTTGATCCAGCTTATGCCTAAATGCCTTTAATGACAGGAAACTTGCTGTCTCCTGAGGTGGCATTTTTTATCATTAGATAACTAATTGTTCTTTAAAATAGAGCTGAAATTTGTCTCCCTATAATATCACTTATAATTCATCCATGTGTTCCTATTCATAACTAGTCTTAATTTCTCACCTCCATTTACAGCCCTTTGGATTTTTAAACTTTTTTCTCCAATGTATACATTCCCTGTTCATTTATCCACTTCATTTGTTAAAATCTATGCCGCATTCATCACTTTGCTCCGAAAACAATCTTGTTTGTGTTTCTTAAAAGATTACAATTTCCAGAATTTAACTCTGTAATATATTTATCACTAATATGTGTAGAAAGGACATTCGTACTTTAAACATATCCCTTAAAATGGAATTTGAAGAAACTTCTTAAATATATTTAATGTTTTATGACTTTGTTTTTCGGAGTATAAATGAATTTTAAGGTATTAACAAAGTTGCAGTGTGTTTTTAGAAAGTACTAGAAATTACAATTGAATGAGCATTATTTGATGCATTCAAATAAACATATTTTTGATGCAGAATAGTGTGGGTGGAAATACACAAGAAGTTTGGTTATGTGTAAAACTTCACAAATTTGAATATATATGTAAATTATTTAAATGTTTAGGGCTTTATTTTAAGCTTTTAAATTTGTGTGCATATTTAAATTCAATAGCTATTTTATTAAGTAAAAGAAAGCTAATATTAATGTGTACCATGTCTTAGAGATGAGCCTATTTATGAGGTTGTCATCATGGACAAAGTGAAATAATATATTCTAATCATAGTGTGAGATAAAATATATTTGATGGGTTTTTTGTCATTTAAATTCTTCCAGTAGTGCAATGTAAATTAGATCATTTTAAAATCTTCTCATTTTTAAGAAAAAACATGGACAGAATATTCTGAAGTTTATTAACTATTTTTTATAAGGCCACTACTAAATTTTAAAAGAGAGGTTTAAACAATTAACATTTATGAACACCCTTCAATAAGGCCATTATTTATTTTTTTAATGAGTTTTTAAAAATTTATGTTTTTCATAACATTTATCATTTCTTTGTGGTTATAACATTCAAGATCCTCTTTTCTGGCTATCTTGAAATATACAATATAATATGATTAACTAGAGTCACCCTAGAGAATCAGAGCTTAGTCTTCCTATCAGACTTTAACTTTGTAACTTTGAACCAGCTTACCAACTCCTCCCCTTCTCCCTCCTCCAACCCCCCTTACTTGCCTCTGGTAACCAGTATTCTATTCTCCATTTCTTTCTTTCTTTTTTTTAAATTTACTTTTTCTTAATTGACCCATGATAATTGTATATATTTATAAAGTACAGTGTGATATTTGGGTACATTTATACAGTATGTAATAATCATATCAGGGTATTTAGCATATCCATCACCTCGAGCATTTGTCACCTCTTCATCTTAGAAACATTTAAAATCCTCTGAATCAGTTACTTGAAGTTATAAAGTTACTTTGACTTTGTCACCCTATATTAATACAGACCAATATATCTTATTCTTATCTCTCAACAATTTTGTGTTCATTGACCACTCTTTCTTTGTCTTCCTTCCCCTCCTCCTCTTACCAGTCTCTGGTACCACTATTCTACTTTTTACTTTTGTGAGATCCTCTTTTTTAGCTTCCGCCTGTGAGTGAAAACGTGGTATTTCTCTTTCTATGCCTGGCTTATTTCAGTTAACACAATTTTCTCCAAGCTCATCCATCTTCCTGTAAATGACAGAAGTTTATTCTTTTTTATGGCTAATTAGTAGTCCAGTGTGTGTGTGTGTGTGTGTGTGTGTGTGTGTGTGTGTGTGTGTGTGTGTGTGTGTACCATGTTTTCTTTATCCAGTCATCTGTTGATGAACATTCTTGGCTATTGTAAATAGAGCTGCAATAAACAAGGGAGTGCAGTATCCCTTTGACATAGTGATTTCCTTTCCTTTGGATATATACCCAGTAGTGGGATTGCTGGATCATACGGTAGTTCTATTTGTATTTCTTTGAGGGAAATCCGTACTGTTTTCCATAATACCTGCACTAACTTACAATCCTACCAACAGTGTATAAGAATTCCCCTTTTTCTGCATCCTCACAGCATTTGTTATTTTCTGTCTTTTTGATAATAGCTGTTCTGAGTGGGGTGAGATGATATCTCATTGTAATTTGGATTTGCATTTTTCTGATGATTAGTGATGTTGAGCATTCTTTATATACCTGATGGCCATTTGTATGTTCTCTTTTGAGAAATGTCTATTCAGCTCCTTTGCCCATTTTTAATCAGATTATTTAGTTTTTTACTATTGAGCTGTTTGAGTTCTTTGTATATTCTAGATATTAACCTCTTCTCAGATGAAAAGTTTGCAAATATTTTCTGCCGTTCTGTATGTTGTCTCCTTGTTCTGTTGATTGTTTCCTTTGTTGAGCAGAAGCTTTTTAGTTTGAAATAAAACCATTTGTTTACTTTTGCTTTTGTTGCCTGTGCTTTTTTTAAAATTTTTATTTTGTCAATATACAATGTAGTTGATTATTATGGCCCATCACCGAAACCTCCCTCCCTTCTCCCTCTCCCCCCTCCCACCAAAGAATGTCCTTTCCATTTGCTTGTTGTAACAACTTCAAAAAATTGTAGTTGTTATATCTTCTTCCCCCCCACCCCCGGTTTTTGTTTTTGTGTGTGTATGTGAGTGAATTAATTAATTTATT